TATGAACTATGGTAACTTTTGAGTTTGATTTTATGCAACAGCTGTAGCCAAATTTGTTTAACACTGTATTGGGTTTGCATGGCAGGGTTTTGGTAGTGGGGGAGACTAGAGGGATTGCTTCTTTGAGAAGCTGCCAGAAGCTTCCCCTGTGTCTGATGGAGCCAATGCCAGCTGGTCCCAAGATGGACCAGCCACTGGCCAAGGCTGAGCCCATGCAATGGTGGCAGCGACTCTGGGATAAGGTACTTCAGAGGAGGAAAAAAACCTCTGCAGATGGAGACAGGAGTGAGGATATGGGAGACAAACAGCCCTGCAGACACCAGGGTCAATGGAAGAGGGGGATGAGGTGCTCCAGGTGCCAGAGCAGAGATTCCCCTGCAGCCCATGGTCAGACCATGGTGAGGCAGCTGTGCCTCTGCAGCCCATACAGGTCCATGTTGGAGCAGAGATCCACCTGCAGCCCCTGGAGGACCTCATATCAGAGCAGGTGGATGCCCAAAGGATGCTGTGACCCCTTGGGAAGTGCGTGCTGAAGCAGGGCAAGCATGTGGGGAGTCCTCCTCCTGAGCAGGAAGGAGCAGCAGAGATTAGGTGTGATGGACTGACCACAATCCCCATTCCCCACCCCCCCTGTGCAGCCAAGGGAAGGAGGGAGAGAACTCATGAGTAGTTAAGCCAGGGAAGAAGAGAAGGGTTTCATTTCTCATTATCCTACTCTGATTTGATTGGTAATAAATTAAGCTAATTTTCTCAAGGTGTGTCTGTTTTGCTCATGACAGCAATTGGTGAGTGATCTCTCCTTATCCTTATCTTGACCCGAGAGCCTTTCATTGTATTTTCTCTCCCCTGTCCAGCTGAGTAGGGCAGAGACAGAGTGGCTTTGGTGGGCACCTGGCATCCAGCCAGGGTCAACCCACCATAGAAACATTTTCACGCAGTATTTATTCAGGCCTCACTGTAATCTGTAAGTTGCAGAAATATTTTTTCCCCTTTAATCTCACATGGAAAACTGATTAATCAAAATGTTTGCCAGCAGCAGTTTGTTCAATAGGTTGAACCACAGGTCATCAGATACTGTGCATGTCACATTACAGAAGCCTTTCTCCTTTCTTAATTCAGCCTGGGCCTCCACATATGGAAAAAAATTTCGAGAGTATTCACAAAAGTAAAAAGTGCTTCAGAAATAAGTAAACATTATTGTTTTAGGCTGCCTGTTGGTATAGCTCCAAGTAATTAAGTTAGTAAGTATTTCTAGAATTTCTTGACAAAATTTTAAAAACTGGCCTTAAGATCTCTATTTCCTTCAGTTTGGAGTTCTTGCTGTGTTAACTTTATATTATACTTTCTATATTACATTTCAGGGGTTTTTTACATACGCAGCTTTCTTTTTCTCACTGTAATCTCTCGTGTACAATAATCACGGGTCTATGGGAGCACTGAAAGAGGTGTTACAGAATTGCTCACACTTCCCAAACTGAAGGCACCAGTTGCTTGGGCTGTACAGGGAGACAGTGATGCCAATGTTTTCTCTAGTAACTGAATGTACAGGGAAAACCAAATGGAATAGGAGAGACAAGACAGAGGAGTGCAGCAGAGCAGCTAAGCACTAGCACGAGCAACAAGGGGTCAGGGAATACAACTCGATCCCACAGCCAGTGTGGGGCAGCCCCAGTGTGGCAGTGCCTGTGGGATCCAGGTCTGGCCACAGACCTTGGGGGAGCCCCTGGCACCCCGACCCCGTGTGGCTGTGCTTTGACAGCCCTGCAGTTGGGATGAGACATGATCTCCAAAGGAGGGGCAGGATCCTGAACCAAAGCTTCTGATCTGTCACCACCATGCAGCAGCATGACTTGACCTGGCATGTGGAGTCCCCTAGGATGGATTCTTCCCAATTTTCCTGCTCTTCCCCATCTTGTTGCAACTTGAGCCTGAAGAATACCTGTGCCTTGTTTGTCCTAGAAAGACTGTTTGTACCTGCTTTTGCTGATTGAAAATATTCAATCTCAAATTAATTTTAGAGTGTTAGAACTTCTAAAGGATAAAAAAACTGATCCTGGAGCTCCATTTACATTCACCGAAGCCTGAGTCTATTCAGTAGCATAGAAAGCAGAACTGCCTGCAACACCACGCCAGGAGAAAAAGCACAGATGAAAAGAGGAATCACAGCACTAAGGATTTTACATTTCCATTGCACTTTGATGTTCTGCTCTCGCTCCCCTCCCTCCCTGAAGCAAGCTAACACCATGGTGTGTGACTACATGCTTCTAAGTGGTTGAATCTGCCTCCAGGCACTCTCCTCCTAGTCTTCCTTGCTACATTTGAAAGATCATCTGCCTCCCCAGCATCTGTTCATGACTGATGACGATCAATGCTAAAGGGAGAGAAAGGGCATCCCAATGGCAATTTTATCAACTGGAAATCGTACACAAGGCTTTCAAAATGGGCCAGCAAGAGGAAATTAAGAATAGGTTAGACTGTAATGATCAAACAGATCAAAGAAATGAGAGAAACAGGGGAAGGCAACTCAGACATCTTTTTAGAGGCAGAAAGCCCTGCAGGAAAGGAAGTATGAAGGCACAAATATCTCAGCACAGCATCTTGGCACTGCACTGTTACAATTCCCTTGAGACAGCACAGCTTATATAGTATCACTATGGAAAGAAGAAAGTATTCCAGTAGGGATATTTGCTGAATAATACAGCAGTGTTTCCATGCCCAATATGTTAAAAACCCACTAAGAGATAAATAATAACTTCTTAAACAAGATTTTTATTAAATGACATAGTTTGTATTCTTTCGATTGTTCAGCTTTTAGTTTGCATCTGGATCATGTTTTCTGGTTTTTTGTCATTATGAGACACTAAAAAAATAGTTAAAGATGATGTTTTTGTACAACAAGAATATCCTCAAGAGTAGCACTGTAATTAAATTATCAAAGATAACAAGGTTTGCAAATAAACCCAGGTTTGATAACACAGAGGTGTGGCACTCCTCTGAAAAGTGTTGCCAGGCTTCATCCATCTGTCCTGGCTGTTATGGAAGGTTTTTGTCCTTGTAACACAATGGAGGTAGTTCTTGCTGAAAAGAGATACGTAGGCAGCTTGAATAATTAATTCTTTCAAAGCAGAAGCCACACAGGGGCCAGTACCTAATGAATAGAGGAAGAACATGGAGGAGAAAGAGTTTTGAACAGTGTGGCTAAGGACACCTTGTTTACAGCCCATGACAAACTCTCCTCAAGGTCTGGCATTTCTTTCTCCTTGGCAGCAAAGCCCTCCCTGAGGCTCTGTAATCAGGTGGAATATTGTCTGAGAAGCTTCGCGGAACTGTTTGTCCCTCATAAAGCATTTGTGGGCAATTATTGGGAAACGTGTTAAACTCCTACCAATGTGCTTTACTGATGTGGAAGCAGTCTGCCTGGATGCTCCACAGCTTTCCCAGGTCAGCTTAATGGAAGAACAGCCTGCTTTAAACAACCTATGAGAAAAATTGAGACACAGTTGAGAAATAATGTTGCTCCTTTACTACATGCATCACACATGCTACTGGCCAGACTGTGGTGAGAGGGACACTGCAGGAGTGCTTAGGGACACTTGTGTCAGACCAATTCCTAATTATATAAATTTCTTGTCATAGTGGAGTACCTGAACAGGACCACCTACTGCCTGTCTGAGAACTACTGCTATTGCCCTATAGTACTGTTAGTACACTGCAAGTCACTATGTCATTGATTAATCTGTTTTTCAATTTTATCTATCTATATCTATCTATATCTATATATATCTCATCCTTACCATACAGAAAAACTATATAGAACATCCACACCACTGAAGAGACAGTTTTGGGGGAGAGGAAGTTACTTTATGTTACTTTACGTGTCTTGGCTCACTGGGAAAATACAGCAAAATTTATGTGGTTACAATTATCATTGGATCTTCCTTCTTGGCAGATTTAGCTACTACTTTCACTTCCCATTTATTTTTAAGTGAGTTGTGTGTTTGTGAATGCACGAGTTTGATGGCTCCAAAGACAGAGAGCATCTGTTTGCCTATAAAGGAAATATATTTACAACATTCACTTCCACAAACTGCTCCCAAAAGAGCGCTTCAGTTGCACACTTGAGGGCTAACAAGGGGATCAGTAATGTAAAACCCCTGTCATCTTGCCAAGATTACTAATGAGGCTGCAATTTGCCAGTGAGAGGTTGCAACTGTAATGGGTTTTGCAGTCTATTCCCTTTACTAGGAGGGCATTTTAACAACTAGTTCAGGCTCCTGAGTCACTTCCAGTATTGCAAGTGTTCCCACAATTGTGCAATTTTGTTAGCAATGACCTCAAATTGTTGTGTCACAACTCCAGTAACTAAGTCCATACTTAGAAAACTAGGTGAAAACATTTGAAAATCAGGCTGATTGTTAAGACTCGGACATTTAGACAGATTGCACAACAATTTTAGCTAAAAGACTCCCTCTTATCCCCCCAAGACACCTCTAGTTTTCATCAGAATTGTTTCATTTACTGTGTTATTCAGAATCCCTGGGTAGATCAGTGTTGGAAGAGTGATGTGTAAAGGATGATGCTTGTTTAGTAACTTGTAGTATTCCCAGTACAACCCGTGCTCAGCGCTTGAGAAAAGAGAAGTGAGTGTCCTGGCTGCTGCAGACTTTGGAAGCTGCTCTGTCACCGGATCAACAAGAGACCGGCACTGCCCCTTCCGATTTGGAACTGGAGCGTTGCCTGACCCGTTATCCTGAATCTGGATGCCCCAGACCAGGCCCCCCATGCGGACTGGTGCCCCCAGGACTCGCCTAGAGGAGCTCTAAATAGAAACCAGGCACTTGAAAGAAAGTTTTGTTGGCGACAAACCGCAATGTTTCCTTCCCTCATCCAGGTTTTCCCGTAACCCCCATAACCCGTCGTTGCGGGCGGAGCGCGGGTGCCACCCGGTGGCCGCTCCGGGCGCTGCCGGCGCTGGCGGGGCCGGTGCGGGGCCCGCGGCACCGCCGTGAGACACCGTGTGCGCCGCTCGAACTGCTCCTCACCGCGGTGCTGGGTGCTGCTGTTAAACACTCACTCCTGTTTGCTGTTTCTCTCGTGGTTTATTTGTATTTTAAAAGCAGTCAGGATGCGGTTCCCCCCCCCCCCCCCCCTTCTGACGAGTGGGAAGCAAAGCCGATGGCTCGTGTCTAAGAGCTAAAGGAAAACAGCCACGCCAGTTGTTCCAAATGCGTCCAACAGCAAAAGGGACCATTCGGAGTCTGAATGAAACCAGAAGTGAGGCTCTTGCACCGCTCTGCTGGGGGGGGAATCAGGCATAAATGGTCCTTTGGCCTCATCTGAGGGCTGCTTTGGAAAGATGCCAAAATGGGATTGGGATTTGGGCAGGAAACCAGATCCTGAGTATCCCAGCTACACTGGTAAGGCTTGTGGCTCTGGCAGTGCTCATTGGCGTCGGCCTCACCAAGGCTGTTCTGCCCTCCATGAATTTTTGAGCCATCTGAATGGTGATGGCAAAAAAAGTGCTTTTTGGTTACTCGTGGTTGTACAGCAAATGGTGAAGCACAGCCCAGGGATGGGCAGGGGAGGGGGCTTTGGAGTTGTCTCCCAACTCTGTCACATCTGTAACCTGTCAGCAAGTGCATTTTTCCACATCTAAAGTGAAGTCAATACTTCCTAGAAATCAAGTGGAACTTAAAAGGTACTTTAACATCTTTGCAAGAGAAGATCTGTGTAACAGGCAGCTTAGACAGATAATATGTTATGCTTAAGCACAAACCGTGGATTCCTGTATGGGCCAGATAAGACAACATTCATAGGAAGATTACTGAAAGCTGGTTAAATCAAGTCACCCACTTTGGAAGGACTTGGAAGGTGGCAAACCCACCCTCTTGCTGGGCTCAGAGAGTGATGAACATTGGTTTGAAATCCAGCTGGCACTTGGATACTAATGCTGTTCCTTAGAGATGGACACTGAGGGGTATTCAAAACATGGCCAGCAGGCTCCAAGTAACCTGCTCTAACTTGTTTTCATCAGGGGATTGGATCTGAAGGTCAATTCCACCCCAAATTATTTGATGACTGTGACAAAAGAGTGGTGAAGAGCAATCTCGCTCAGAACACTATCCTAAGGCAGAGAAACTGAAACCAGTTCATCACATCCTGATGAACAACGGAGGGCAACTGCATAAACCAGATGACATGATTTGCAAGAGAACTGAAAGCATCAGATCAGATCCACTGCTTTCCTAATTTCATTTTATGATACTTATGTTCCATAGAGATTGCATAAACATGCACTCTTTCTCCTCCCAAAATAAATTAGGATCATTCTCAGGGAACACATCTAATGGTTTCATGTGCAGTCTCACTTGAGTTAAATAAAACAGGTAAACAGAACTCTGAAAATAATCTCTACTCCTCAGCAAAATGAGGAGCTTTGTTTTCACCACTGAGTGGGTAGTAAGGATGGGTGAAAGAAAGGTAAGCAATTCAAAAAAGAAAAGTTTGTTTTTCCTTTTCAGTCTGAGGAATAGCAATGCTCTCATACAACAGCAGGCTATGGAAAGGCAATGCTGGCACAGCCTCTGGGTCAGTCAGCGTGCCTACACGTGACCTTAAAATTCTTACTGCAGAAGTTTCACTATTAGTCATTGTCTTTTTACAGATCAAGTGGGTTTTTTTACCAGTGAAATCATACTGCTCAAAATTTGCTACGTGCACATAAATACCCCACAAAAGATAAAAGCACCCATGCTCCCAATAACAGAGAGGTCAAAAAGGGGTAGAAATTGTGGTCTTTTAATTTCAATTTTGGTTGCTGCTAAGCTTCAGGGAGAGAGTGGTTAACTGGGGAGAGGTGGTGTTGCAAAGAGGAAGGAAGTGCCCAATCAGTTTACTACAGAAATGAAAGTGATATTTCCTTTTATTGCAGATTCCATATTTCAACAAAAGATGATGAGAAAGAAAAACCTCCTGGAAGCTAACTGTTGGATATGGGATGATGGGGACCAAGATAATTGAATCAACAGAAAAAGTGGTAGAAAAGTTGAAAGTAGAAAATGGCTCAAAAGGATGGGCTGGGGACAGCACATGTTCTGCTGTAAGATATGTTATTTATAGCAACACAGAATTGCAGACTAATTTATGTTAGAAGGGACCACAGGTTGTCTCTAGTCCAAATTCCTCCTCAAAGCAGAGTCTGCTGTGAGACCAAACCAGAGTGCTCAGGGCTTTAGCCATTTAGGTCTTGGAAACCTCCAAGGATTGAGATTGTACATCCAGCATCTCTGGACAATCTGTTCCAATGCTTGGCTGTCCTCGTCATGAAAAAGTTTTTGCTTATATCAAGTCATAGTTTTTTTAAATTACAATTTATGTCTCTCAGTTTTGTCCTCTCACCATGCACTACTGTGCAGAGCCTGGCTTTGCTTTCTTGATAATATCCCCTGGAAGCCCTTCTTACTTAGGCTAAATGAGCTCAGTTTCTTCAGTTTCTTCTTTATAGGGCAAATGTCCCAGCCCTTATCCATCTTGGTGGCCACCCACTGAACTTGCTGCAATTTATCATCCCAGTCAAGTGTATGGAATATGGAATCAAATGTAATGGACTTCTCAGACGAGTATTCAGAAGAGAGCCAAGACTAGAGAAACATTTAGATGATTCATTGTCATCTTAATACTCAGGAACAACCAGGAGCTGAAGAAAAGCTTTGTATACTATTTAAATGTCATCTATCTGCTCTATTCTGTGGAGAATCTGGTTACTTGATCAGACCAGCTTTTGTAGGTTTTGTCCCCATTGAGTGTAGGATCTGTCCCAGGGCCATCATGAAAACCTGTGTGTTTACAGAACATTTCAGCCTAATAGCAGTTGTGCTCTGTAAAAGATTTGTCAGATGCAAGTGCACTATTTGATCAACTGGCTCAGAAGAGAGATATGCAAAACGGTGGTGGGTGGGAGAAAAAAGCATCTTTTGAGTTGACATATTGTGAAATATTCAAGGTAACAGGTAGGAGAGCTGCATCACCCACTCTATTCCTGCTCCAACGAGCTACTGCCTGTACACTTCCAAATCTTGCTCAGCATTTTATCTGACAGTAATCCCCCCAGTTTGAAGAGACTAAAGGTTGCAGGCAGCTCCATGTTACTGAAGTAGAATAGGTTTTTCCTCCTCTGTTTTAAATGTCTCTTACATCTTTCACATTGAAACAGCTCAAAGGACTTTTCAACCAATCCACAAGTTCCTGTGCACATGAAAGAGGTCACGTTGTTGCCCATTTTGATTCAGAAGGAAACGTGGCCTGGCTCACTACCTGGTAAAGCCATACAGGTATGTAGGGCCTGGAGCAACGCACAGCATGGGCTGAAGGGGAGATACCCTCCTCAGTCATAGGCTTGGTGTGCAGGTTTCTCATGCAGTGTGGAAAAATATCTGTATGAGATGGAAAATGAACTAATACATCACAGTCAATGTACCTCCTTCTTCTTCTGTTTTCATCTCCTCTGTAGCCTGGAATTTTCCTGGGAAGATAGTATGTTCTGAGAAAGGCAGTGGATGACAGGATAAGGGGCCATAAGGGATGCATATTTTCCATTTCACCTGCTCTGTAAAGATGTCTTTCCTGAAAGTCAATATAGAGACTGTGAAAGTAGTCTTGTAAACTTGAGACTTCCAAATGATGCTGCAGCCAAGGAAGCTGTTGTACAGGTGTAAGGGTGATCTATAGACAGAGAAATAAGTGATGGCAGTCTTTGGAGACCACACTGGCTGTCAATTCTTAAAGGATCCAAGAATATCAGCGAGAAGACATTAGGAGATCTATCCAAAAGTATTAATTCCTGCAGTAAAAGCTTTAGCTTTCAAGGCAGCTGGGAAGACAGTTTGTAAAAAAACCCCCACAAAACCAAAAAAAAACCCCCCAAACAAACTCGTCCCTCCAGGGTGGGTTTCTTCTTGGGAAATATCTGGACTTGAGTGTTTTGACTGTTTTGCAACACATACTGTTCTCATGTTTTTCAGAAGAGCGCATAATTTAAATTTTTTGATGGGTTCCTGGAGAACCTACTGGGTATCAAATACCAAATTAAACAGCCTTTTTATTTTAGATGAATCTCCTGCTATTCCAGGTTCTGCTTGTCTCTGCAGCCCCACACCTTTGGTGTTCCCTGTAACACATTTCTTTCAAAATCCTTAGTATGCTGAGGAGTTCTTCTGGACGATACAAATAATTACACCCTGCTGCTCACCACATCTGTTTATGAGAAGAAAAACTGTTTTCTGCTTGATCAGCTTTGCTGCAGTAAACAATGTCAGATGTTTATTGCGAAATAGCTACAAATTCTGACTGAACTTTCAGCAACACATACTTGAAGGCATCAAAGTACTCTTGGAAGAACTTTTCACTCTGTGTGGGTGTTAGTGGTCTGGGAAACACTATTTTATATCAGTCTTGATTTAACCCAACTTCTTATCCACAATTTCACAAGTCATACAAATAGAAGGCTTTTTTTTTTAATACTTTATAACTTCTAGAACTGCTAGAACTCTCTGAGAGTTATGGCTATGAGGAAGCCTTTTCCCTCTTTACTCCCTGTGCAGAATTCCCCAAACGAGGTATCACAATGGGTGCATATTTTCAAGCTTCTCATACTTTACTAACCCATTTTGGACTCACTACACACCTTTAAACAAAAGCAATAAACGGGAACTACCCCTTGCAATTGCAGCTATGAGTTGCAGGTGGCAACTCCACAGACTGCAACAGAATTATTTTAGATTTGGACTGGCCAAAGAATCAAAGCTACTGAGTTGGGAAACTGAGCTGCACATGGACAACTAAACACCAGCTCTTTTCCTGCTGGAAAACTCATTGTTAGGCTGCCTTCTTTGGAGGACCCTGGAGAGACTTAGTTTGGTTTTTCAGCTAAATCATCTCCGTTGAGTTTCCTCAAGTCAATGCAAAACTGGGGCAATACCGACTGACAGAAAATGCCTGCATTCACTCCAGGATGGGACATGAAAGCAGCCGAACCCCCCCAAAAGGGTACCAACACAGGCCCTCTACCCTTACAAACACAGGCACTGTACTCTTCAAATCAATGTCTGCTTACTAGTTTTGTCTTTATTTCCACTCTTAGGCTGAATATCAGCTTCAAAAGAGCATTAGAAATTATTGAAGCCAGACTTCTAATGTTCCGAGGGTTTTACTATGGAGGAGGGCAAATGGTCTATATATAATTTTTCCCTATTTCTCCCTCAGTTAATTTCTACAGCACCAAGATACATTAACACTCCTCCTCACCAGTTTGTATTTGTACCAAGAATAAAGCTTTTATTCTTGCCTGTGGGGAGGTTAAGCATTTGCTATTTACAGGTGGTGTGTGGAGGAAAGATGGACCTAGTTTTTTTTTATCATTTGATGGGAACATGCAGTAGAAAACAGTACTTTAATCAGAAAAAAAATACTACTTTCTTTGAACGTGAACTGAGTCTAAATTATTACAGAAGTTATCATCTGGAAAGGCAAGAGCTGAGCTGGTGTAGCAATAGATGATCCTTGTAAAGGTATTTGCTTAGTTTATGGAGAGCTCTGTAACTGAGAGAAGATATTTTTTCCTGTTACCCTTAACCTGGCCCCATTTTCCCTTGCAGAAACAGTTCCAAAATCCAGAAGAATCCCACAGCACTACACAGTAAATTCAAGCCAAACAACATTTGGCTTTGCTCTGCTGAAGCACACAACTACAAGTGTTTTGTTTCCAAGTTGTAAAGTCTATCCCTAGCCCTCTGGTGAGAAAGAACAGTCAGATTATAAACTCAGGACTGTTTCACATCATCAGATCCCATTTGTATATTCCACTGAGCTCCCAATAGAAAGTAATAAACACACTGATAACCTACTTAAACCTCCATCTAGCCTTTGCCAAACTATCAAAGTATCTATGAAAATAAAAAGAAATCCCCAGCCATGCTCAGTAACCACAACTATTGCCTGCTGAACCTCTCAGGTGTGCACTTCCTGCTCCATGCTCAGGGAGAGGTGGAACCTGTGTCAACACTATATCTGTACATCCCCAGTCCCACCCCATGTTCCCAGGAGGCCACAGCAAGTGACTTGTAGGTGAGAAGGTGGCTGTAAAACAAGTTGACATATTTAGGAGGAAATGAATACACCACACCCACATACAAAATGTTACACTTTTGTTTGATTGTTTGTTTTGAAAGACTGTTTTCTACTAAAAATTTTTAATTGTAAATAGTCTTTTTTTAATGGCATGCCAGTGGAAGGAATTTGTCTCCTAACTTTTAGAATCGCATTTGTGTAAGTATAATGATGAGAGAACTAAATCTCTGACTGTACAGTTATGTCAGAATGCATCTTACCCATGTAAACTGTGTAAAGAAAAGTTGAACATTTCTTGCTCTTGCTGCATTTGAGCAACAATTTTATTAACTCAGCCCAACCCTTCCTCCTTTAGGAGGCACAAAGAGGGGCTGTTAAAACAGTGCAGCTAAGAGTGAAGAAAAATAATTACATCATGTGATGATGGAATCTTGATACCACTGACATTTGAATAGAAAATTTCTACTTTCATAGAAAGGTTATGATGGAACATCCAATCTCATGTCCTTTTTTTCCCCTACAAAAATATCTGGATTTGTATTTGATATTCCTTAATATTTCCTTTTCTCTTTTATAAATTTTTACTTTTATATGTGCATGTCTATGTATAGAAACAAAAACCTGTTCTGGTTCTCAAATAAAACCACTTAAGATTCAGTTTTAAAAAGAAGGAATTTAGAAAATATTTATTATACTGTATTGCATCCTGTTATTATAATCTCACCCTTTAGTGATCATATGCAGAAAGCATTTGAATATTCATTTGTAGAATGGTGAGGAATGGCAAGGAAAAGGATTCTTGAACTGCTTGGGAGAATCAAGTATGATGATGACTTACTCTTTACACTTGAATTTAAATGTCAAAAGAGACTTCTTTCTTCAAAATGTTAGTCACTGCAGTTAAACACAGATGCACAAAGAAATAGTTTGATTCTATGTGGGTTTTTTAATAGGAAGTTCAATTTAAAGCACTGATTACCATGAAACAATCTGATATACTTATTGTAAAGCAAGTACTCATGTACTCACAGACATACTGGAATTAATGAGGTCAAACTAACTAACTGTTGAAATATGGAGAAGTCTCTCCAGCCAGGGAAGGTTATGCAATCTGAGTAGCTGATATAAACACCAACATCTTTCCCCTTAAAACAGTGATCATCTTGGAATGACTCTCCTTAATACCATTATTATCAGTGGTGTGAATTTCATAACTTCACCTTCTCAAAACTGCAATTACTCTACTTTTTCTGATCCAAATCCCATTTTTTTTAATTTCAGCTTTATTCAAGTAAAATTCTCACTGCAGCCACAAAGATAGATCAAACCTAGCCTAAGTTGTCTGCAAATACATTTGTTATTTGAATTGCACACTTAGAAAGCTTTAAATTCCAGAAAAATCAGGCCTTGCCAAAAGTAGTAGACAGGCTGGAAAAATATGAGTAAGTGACTGCAAACATGCTGCATTCTGAATATCAAAAATGTGGTTTTGGCATTGCAATTCGAGAAAACCCAAGTGAAACCAAATCAAAAATCACAGATAAGGCAAATTTAATGATGCCAGTGCTCCTGTGCATAGGCATCTTTTCTCTGGCTGCCACTGAGAATGCCGAAAATCAAGTCAAGATGATTTAAGGGGGGGGAAATGCAAATCTTTCTACGCCCCCTGCCACTCAGTATGTTGCTCTAATAGGCTGTTACGATAGTGTCAAGATTCTTCCAAATACTTGAGCACTCTTCCATTATCAAAATTCAAAATATCTATGACAGATATCAATTCTGGAAGATGCATCCCAGCACAGTTTATTAAAAATAGAATCTAAGGGAAGGGAACACTATTCCTTGCAAAAGTTGAAATTAGGTCCTTCTCCCTGCCTCTGCCTAATATGTAAAAAATAAATTAAGAAAAGGCAAGAGGGGGCAGATGTTCATTTAACTTTTAGCAGCACAGTTTTCATGTGCTCACTGAGTAGCTTCAGCTCAGTGCTGCTTCAACTTACAATCAGTCATAATACACAGCTAATATCAAGGTACATATGGAAAAGATGGAATAACTCTGTGCAGCAGTCCCACAGGAGCATGGCTGGCTACATAGGTGTGTGCAGAAAGCCCCTGGAGTCCAGGAGGATATCAAATTGAGCACGAGTCAGACAACAACAGCAACTGTGAAGCGTAACTGCAAACCACATTGTGTTCATGGAAGCACAGTGAGCAAGCCAAGGGAAGCCATTAAGTCTTTGCTGGCACTTGTGAGGTGGCATCTGGAATAGTGTGTTTAGTTTTGGACCTCCAGTACAGGGAAGACAGATAGGAGACAGTCCAACAGAGAACCACTAAGATAATTTAGGGGCTATAACATATGAGAAGGGGCAGCAGGTGAGTTTTCTCTTGTAACTAGGAGGGGACCTGTCTTCAGGTGGTTATAGACAACCCACCTTCTGAGGGGTGCATGGGGAAAGGATGGGAGGTAAAGGTTACAAGGTGAAGCAAAGGAAATTCCATTTGGATATACAGAAAAACAGTTGTTGTAGTGAGGGTGGTTAAGGCTGGAACATATTTCCCAGAAAGCCAGTGGAAATCACATTCTTGGAGATACTCAGAAGTTGACTGGACAGAGTCCTGAGCACCTGGATTTAAATTTGAAGCCAGTCATGCATTTGTTAGGAAGTTGGACTGCAGACATCCAGACATTGCTTCCAACCTAAATTATTCTCTGAGTCTATGATTGAGTACTCTGCTACAGCAAGAGACTGCCTGCCCTGTGTCAGAGTTGGCCTGTATGGTTTCAGGAATAAAGAGCTGTCTCAGTGATCATCCCACACTATTCTTCAGGAGGCAGAAGGCTGGAACCACTGGCAGAGAAAAGGTCTGTTGAGAGACTGGATCTTATATGATCTTATGTCATACAGACCCAGAGTCAGCAGACTCTCTTTGCTGTGAAGGGAACAATTTCAGCAATTCTGCAAAGGCTTGGAGTGGGGGAATTTCTCCTTTACCTCATGGGATCTCTCTGCATGGATCCTTGCTAGCCAGACTTGGTGTAAAGGGCATAATTTTGCTTTGCTGGGAGAGCTTAGAAATTAGTATAACTTGCCTGGGTGTTAAGTGGCCAAGGACAGTGTTACAGCTAACATGGGCAGGCATTCCTTAGAGCAGTATTTAGCAGAAAGCAATTACATTTCAGCACTGCTTTCACTAAAATAAAGCAATCCCTCTAACCCCTCCTTCCCCTGCCCTCAGTGGGAATATCTGATTATAGCCCTTTCACTCAAATTCCACACAGCTCCTCTTTCTTGAGGCCTTTCACACAAAAGCAAAGACTCACAAAGAGGAGACAGGCACCATTGTATCAGCGTGTTCCATGGTAATGTTTTAGCACACTGAGTTTGCAGCAATCCAAAGGATGTTTCTGTCCTTTATTAATGATATTTCCCAGCTGTTTCTGGTTGAGAAAGAGAGGTCTGGTCCTTTGTTACAGCCTCCAGGGTTCACACAGGGAGCTCTGTAACACCCTCAGGCAGGAGGAGCACAGTCCCAGTGCGAGGCTGCAGATACACAGACCCTGAGCCTATGGATATTGAGGTACTGTACATGTATGTGTTGCACATATATAATAAAAATTAAGCACATTTTAAATCATATTTATGCACAAAATATTTGTCCACAGCAGTGCAACCTGGAAGTACCTCGGGGTTCTGTCCTTTCTTTTGTAGCAGCAACTGTAGTTCTTCACCCCTTCTCTCTTAGGACACATTTTTCTTTTAGGACTCATTTTTCATTTCCTTCAGTAAAGTTTTTATATAACCTTTCTTCTTTGTGCACTCAGTATCTCCTTCTTATCCTGACATGTACATTATGCAAACATGCTTCACATTCACATAAGCCCTGCTCTGAATATATTAGTGCCTTCCCCGCAGTGATTCCGATGGGGTTTTGGGTTTGTACAGAACACTGTGTAGGCCCAGTTCTTACTCCTCTTTAACTTAAGGTTTCATCTGGATCTTCATCCTTGACTTTGGGCTTGAACTTTGAAGTGCTAGTAGGAACTGTTCCTAACAGGAACTTTCTGTAGTAGATTCTATCTGCATTCATTCTGTTTTAGATAAAATTGCATGGATACAGGAATGAAAGTGTTTGGAATATAGGCTAAAATCAATATATTATGTTTCTTTTAACAATTTCATCAAAGCTGCTCTGGTATTTTCCATTTGCAAAAGGCAATGACACATGTCAGAGTCATAAACCAAATGCATGTTTAAAGTGATCACTGGGCTGGACAGTCCTACTGCTTTCCTGCAGTCTCACAGAGCTGTTGGCTATTGGTTTACAGGAAAAATGTTCAATAGCTGAGACAAGTGAGAGGAAGCACAGGAAGGGTCCTGCTGTGGTCCAGAATCGCTGTTACCTCAGTAATGTGCTACCATTCAGCTCAACCCATTGTCAGGATACAGATTTTTTTCCTGAATTTATAATTCCAACCTTAGGGGTGCTATTTGCCATATAAATGGATATAAAAAGAAACAACTCCATGAGCAGACGTTGTAGAGAGGTGTGTATTATTGCAAATAAAGACAAGGGGGGAAATATGAATGGTGTAGCTGTCCAAGTTGTGATCTTCGAGTTGTGATGAGATGCCATTTCTCAAGGAAAGAAAGATTTCAGAAAGAAAAGTGAGATTAAGCTTTCCATCTCCAATAGATAGGACACGTAGCACAATTCCTCCTGTAGGTACAGATTTGTGTCTGGAATTGAAGGCCTCCTTTCTGCTCAGCCCACAGATGTGCTGTGGTTTTTCTTCCACGAAAGGGAAGCAGCCACACACAGAGCTTGCACCCCTTAGTTCAGTACAGAAGGTGATCATACTTTGAATGTCATTTTTCATTGCAGAGTCTAAAGATTCCTGACATTTGGAGTGAACACAGCTTGCAGAACATTTAATACCACAATGCCTCCAGTGCATTATGCTTACTAAGCTACTTGATTATTAGGAATCCAGGCTATCAAGATAGATATGATGGTATACCCATAAAAGAATGGTTTTAAAATCATTGAACTCTAAGTTATAGGTCATTCATGTATTTTACTATCATTAAAATGGCATTAAAGGAGAAAGTTCCATCTCATAATAATGCCAGAGAGGACTTTACACCTTGACACAGCACATACATCTTTAATATAAAGGAAGGGAAAGACTGACATTAAAAAAATTAACTGCTTCTATAACTTGAAACTGCTATTTATATGTACAGAATTTGGACCAGTTTTAAATTCAAACACTCCTACTATACCTGAAGTGTTTCCACGTATCTTTCCATATCATGCAGAGATATAAATGGTATATTTTAGAGTTCTACAGCCCAGGCCCTCAAATAAGGCCTACAAGATTTGGTGTGCTTCCTAGTCTAAAGTCTGAACACCAAAGAGTTCTGTGACTTTTTTCCATTATAATTCTGTGCAGTACCAGCAAGATCAAGGCCTCTCAGCAAGACTTACTCACTTACATGCAGCACTGCTGCATCACCTCCCCAGACCATACAGACTGAGCTAGCTCAGCTGTCTCCATAGCACAGAAATGCCAGGTGATGCTCAGGTTAAACTGTGAACAATGACCTGCTTCCCTCAGTAAGGCTTTGTGCAGGCACAGAGACCCTCTCACTGCAGAATCCAACTCTGGTCATTTATTTTCACCTGCATCAGGAATTTTCCCAGAACATGAGAGCTGAAGTGTCTGTGTGATATTCATAAATATTTTGAAAGACTCGATTTTTTAAGATCCCAAAGGATTTTTAAACGGTTTGTATAATTTTGATTGAGCTAATCAAACTGATAAACAGAAGTTTCACATCATGCCAGCTGGAAAGATATAATCCATTTCTGACTAGCAAATACTTCCTCTAGTTAGGCAAATTTTGAAACAAAATTAGAAATTTTTCATTAAGGAGATACGAAAATAAAACAGGATGTTTTGTCCCTCTGCCTTTCCCTCTTTTTCTGCAGGAGCCATTTAGTCACATCCAGGCTAAATTCACACATCGTTCCAGACTGAGGCTTTTCCTGTGATCTTCAACTAAAAAGTTTCACTTAGTCTGTGAAATGACTCCAGGGTTTTTTTTACAGATATCTTATCAGGTATCTGTTCCTACTCCCTCTGAGATTTAAAGTCCTTTCTTTTCTGTTGGAGAACTGCTCTTTTCTAGAAGGAATTCTAGTAGCGTGGAATTTCACTTGAGATAATGGTTCTGTTTCTCAGGACAGATGGTTACACCTATGGAGTGTGGAAGGCAGCTCATGCTTGCAGCAGTCATAGACCAGAAACGAAGGACACAATTTTCTGAATGCCTGGGACAGTTTTTGGCTATCCAAGAGTTTTGCCTTTTTCCTGATAAGGAATTACTTTATCTGTTATACAAATTGGTAACTATATTGACCATGCAAGGTCTGCAATTCTTTTTACAGTTCAGCTTTTAATTGAAAAAGATATCAAGCATGCAATAATAGCAGAAGGCATTCACTTACCCTATGACAATGCAGGAGATGGCAGTTCCCAAGAAGGCATAGGTTAAAATTGATCCTAAGTTACGAAAAAAATGTCTCTGGAGAGAAAAGTTTGAAAAAAATCCTTTGTAATACAGTAAATAAAAGAGCTTTCAGTCAAAGTTGAAACACTGCATCTAGAAGTGCCATTTGTTACAACACATACCTCAAATATAAGATGGAACAATATAGGCTACTTGAGTTATTTTGGAAAATACAATTTAAGATGTTTAATTTTTTTCCATGGGGAATGCCATCAAAGTTGCCTCATTCACGGATCTGGACAAATGCTTCATGATCATAACTGATGTTCACACTGAAAGTATCTGATCCAAAAGGTATCATGACCCCATCCCTTGAACAAACAAAGCCCTGATCAGGCATTGTATGAAACACAGACAGGCTGCTGAAAACAGGAAGGCCCAAGTGTTATAACCCACACAGTCAGACCTTTGCACAGTGGCAGAAAGGGAGCAGAATGAGGCCATGCATCTCTCATTTTTTTGCCATTCCTGTCAAGGTCTTCCTGTGCAATGTAGTTGTTAACTGGCCCTTTCCTCTGTCACTGGCCTGTTGGACTTGCAGAGAAGCAGCTGCATTCAGTCCCTTTTGTCATATAAAAAAGAGACACATACCTTCTTTAAACTATATCCAGCATGGAATATAATGGGTGGCAGCAAAATATTGAAGAAGATGGAAGGATCAAAGGTCATCTGCCAGAAAGGACAAAAGAGAGGGTAAGGACAAATAAAGTAGGATTTAATTTGATAGGATAGGTTCTAATTGTAACTTCTTATCAGGACTGATCTGAGGATCATCTTCAATGTCTGCAGGATTATTCCAAGTTGTTTTCTTGCAAGTATAAATGTATAGTTCCTTACAGCTTTTACTACAGTAATTTTTGAAATTACTACTTGAAAAGTATTCCTTCAAGAAGGAAATGAGTCAGGTACTACGTTCCAGGGAACACATACAAGAAGTGTTAGCTGTGATAGTAGCTACACTACCAGGCAACTTGACTGTCCCATGGCTGAATTCCTGCTTCAGACATGGACCTCCTGTTCAGTTGCAGGAAAGACACATTGGCAGTGTTGTGCCTCAATTCCCCATGTGCAGAAGGGTGATATAAGAAAAGGCCTACACTGCCAAACCTGATGTAATGTTTCCTTTGAAGGAAACCTTTTATAAAACACCCATTAAAAATTTTAAAGTAATGCTAGAATGAGGAAATCAAAAAGTTCCTATTCCAGCTGTTTTCAGTACACTCTTCATATTGGCCTTCAACTTCTGGCACAGAGAAAGGCCAAGGACAACGTTTAGTCGTTGCAATTCATTACAAGTAGCTTTCAATAAAATAGAATCTGCTTTAAAACCACAGCATTGCTGGAGAAAAAAATACTTTAATGGGCCTGGGTGCTGCTTACTGTTCTGTCAGTGGGCTGTATTATATCAATACTTTTAAAAGAGGCAGGAGGTAATTAACACAAAGGCGTGCAGCTACTTGTTCAGATGAAGTGATATTTTAAGGCTACAGTACTCTAGAATAATTATTTAGTTTCAAAAGTGTAACAGTAATTACTTCTGTCTTGTTAACAGACAACCTGATTTGATAAACAGGAAGTGAGAGTTGAGACTTTTTTCCATCCTGCTTACTTCGAATTAGAAAGCTGAAAAAAGTGAGCTGGCAAATAACCTTCTAGGAACTATATTTGTGCTGGTACCTTCAGTGAAAACATGACAGAAAAAGATTTTCTTCACTTATTAACTAACAGCCTCAAATGTTTGTTTTGGAATTAATTTAGCAAATATGTAAAAATATCTTTTCCACAGGCATCCGAAATCCTGACTTCATGTTTTATTATTCAAAACCCTGTTCTAAAGTATACATGTTTATAAGGCATGGCACAATCTATTCTCTCTGATAAATGCAATACGTAAATGCTTTTACTGCACTCAAAAGGGAATTGAAGTTGTACAAAACTAAGGGAATGGTGTGATCATACTTTCTGCTTTTTACAGTAGTGCTTTTGCCAGTCAGGAAGGCTGCCAGGAATTGCTATTGTCTCCTAAATATGGCTGAATTTCTTCCCTTTTCCTTTTTTCTTTATTTTCTTTTCAAGAGGGCATTTGCCAGATAATTTTAAAGGGAAAAGAAGTGAAAATCTTGGCAGACTAAGGCCTCTTCAGTAATATGGAGAAACCAGCAATTCACAGTTGAGACTTTTAAGAACCTTCCAGCAAAGTGAGACTGTGGAAAGAAAACTGGGCCTGTTGCCCTGTAAGGGCAACAGAATCTTCTGTGCAAGTTAGTGCTCCTCCCTTTTCATAACACAAGTCAGCCCCAGTGTACCAGGTTTGATGAAGATGTTCAAATGGAATGGACATATGCCCTGGAAACTAAACACACACTTTGGCTCAGACAAAGCTCTTGCAACCAACCAGCAGGAAAATGGATGAAGATTCAGCAAAACCTGATTAGTCTGACTGCCACAGTGTTTTCCTGTCTCCACCCACCGCAGCTCTAATAGTCCTTGACAGCCTAGTTCTTTCTGAGAAGGGCAAGTCCAGCAGTCACAGCAGACAGACACACAGTAGTGCTGCATCAGCAAGAAATTTGATCAGATGGTTATGTCCTAATTCTGCTGAGCTTCCCAGTGTACATTCTAAGCATAACTTAAAAGTTTTTATAACGATAACCACTGTAGTATATAGGAATACACATTACTGTGCTAGATAAACAATAGCACTTGGAAAAAAGCAAAATACTACATTGCAATATTGTAAAAAGCCACTGGTAAGGGCTTAGAAGCTTCATGTGAATATGCAATGTCTCTGAGCACAAAAGCCATGTTTTAAAAAGTGCCTGTGCACTCAAGAGTTCTTCAAATTGCTGCCATTTTTTAAGGAAGTAAACATTATAACAAGTAAATATTACATGGATGGGGAAAAAATATACTAACAAAGTAAAATATTTTAATTGTTACACACTGGAAAACAGAAAAGGCCATGACATCATGAAAGACTGCAAACTTTTCCCCACAGTTGCCTTTTTCCATCCAGCTGAAATTGCCACAATGCCATCTCCCCAAGCTTGGGGACAGCCAGTGAAATCCCTTCTGAGGACCACTGCAGGAGTGAAAGAATGTACAAGAATGTTGTGATGAATTTAAGAATTATAAAACCCTCCACTTATCTATGGGAGTTTACATATTTACAAGTTTGTGTTTTGAAGAATGTGTAGAGTTTGTAGTTACTTGTGCTGTTCACGGGAGACAACCTCCCCTGCATTAGCGTGCCAGAGCAAGTCCTTTTTAAGACAGAGGACAAATAAAGATATCAGTGCGGTTTGTAAAGGTTTGGTGGCAATGAATCCAAGTTAACAGCTGTGTCTGCAATGAACTCAGTGTCTGCAGGATCTGGGGCTGCCTTCTAAAAGAGTCCAGACAACTATTCCACAAGAATACAGTCAGCTGTGAGGTTTCTACTGCACCTTATTTCCTTTCGTGTTCTTCTTCCTCACTTACCTTTCTCACCCTAAATTCAAAATACCCTCTGTCACATTTTAACTTGAAACTTGTTTTCCTCTCTCAACAGTGAAAATAAAATAAATATCCTACACAGTTAAGAACAAAAATAAGTTTTACCTTTTGAAGCATTGCATTGCCCTGGTGTCCATTGACATTGTGATGGCTGATCTCTCTTTTGTATTGATATTCATAGACCTGATTTGTTATATTAATAAGCAGAGTGGATGGCCCAGATTTCAGCTTTTCACATTCATAAACGATCCCACTTTCCCCATCTGATGCTTTTGTCACATATCGTATAATTAATCCCATTACGAGGCCTGGAGAGTAAAGAAAAAAAGAAAAATGAGAAAGATTCAAGTACTTTTAAGTATTTGATGCTACACAATTACTGATTTAGACAAAAATTAACCCTGTCAAAGTTAGGACACCTTTGCAGTGTTTCTACCTTCACAGAGATACAGCTCTCTCAACACGCCATGGATGACCATAAAATATTTTTCCAAAGTGGTCATTTCATTAGAATGCAGAAGTTGGTTTGACATATGTGCAGTTGTATTCTTATTTTTGTGATGCACTTGCTGGCATAATTATTAACTGAGTTTCTCATGCACCAAATTTTAAGTAGATATTCAGAGCAGGGAGTTGCCTGCATAACTAATGTGCTGTACTGAGCATAAAAACATCAGCTGTGCTGTTGGTGATTTTACACACTTCATTTGTGGGGACAAAACTCTGACACATCCTCAGGCACATTTTGCCTTCTGTAGGAGACTATTTTTAAGACTGTATAAACATAGGACAATAAAAGCAGGGGGAAAGGAAGGAAGTTTAAGACTGGGACTAATTGATTTGACTATCTACGATTTAGGACTCTTATCTAAAACAGATATTTTGTCTCCCTTTACATTTAAGAAAAAGGAAAATGTCCTTCTGCAACCATCCTGTGGAAGGTACACTTCTTTCTTTTGGCTCTAGTGGGAGCTTGCATGTTTACTTCAGGAGAGGTGACTAATATTTAGCTGATAATATTACTGAGATTATTTCCACCCTCAGAGACTCGGATTTGGTTTCAAATTCAATTTCCATGCTTCTTTTATGTCCTATATGCTTTAAGTACCATGTACAGGATGAACAGCTTTAAAGTTACTAATTATGAACACATGGTAAAATGCTAAGAAATCTCAGATTAAATGTTGATGGAAGACATCTAACCATCTAGATAGATATACTTACTAATGAAAGATAAGAAAGAAAATAAATTACAGGAAGTAGCTGAGAAGCATCTGCAAAATATGATATTACAGTTTCAGTTTTGTCCTGTAATCAGGTGCCAAGTGATCACAAACACCTAGAGAGATAAACAGGATGTCTTTGTTATTGTCAAGTTTTCTGATAACAGAGACTCTCTGAACTGCAGATTCCTGGCACACACGTAAGGCAGGTCTGTAGGCTCTTGTACTGATGCTAGAACTGAGTAACAGCTGTATTGCCTGTTCAGTCTGTGTATGCATTTGTGCTTGTTTAATATCTATTGTTTACTATGGTTGCTTTCTGTAAGTGATAGAGGGTTTCAATAAGCTGTAGAAAATCCCAAGGCCACTTTCTTAAGTTACACAGCATTTGTGCAATAAATCACATTATAAATCTACTTGTGGTAAAAGAGAGAATTCCTTAAAGTTTTAAAGGAAAGCATGTGTGTGTAAAGGGAAGCAAACACCGCATGTGCTATGAAATATGACTTCTACAGTGGTCAGCCTAGATGTCCAAAATCATGAGTCAGAAACCAAGAAACCAGTCATTAGTTAAAACAGTCAGGCTTTTCAGCTTATTTTTATCAGATTTCCTCTAGAAGAACCACAGTTTTCAAATTCAGTTTCAAATCACACAATAACTTTGAGAACGGCAACATGCAACTGCTCAAGTTGCTCAAGTCAGTGGAGACTGACTGACATTGCATTTAATATCTCTGTTGTAGAGTCAGGTGGACTACTGTGTCCTACAATATTTCAAGATTCCTGGTAGTTGTGTTATATTGGCTAACAGAGCATTTCCTTTGAACCAAATTCCATTTGATTGTTTTAAAAATTAAAACAAATGTTCTCAATTATAGTCATGCAATTGCATTGAATTGTTCAAGGGTAAATTATTTAAACCTGTTGTATCATGTTTAGACTAGTAGTAGAGGACTGTTCTTTTATTCTGTATTCGGAGAGGAAATGTTATCTTCAGCTGTCATTTCAAACTGCCCCTGTAGGAATTTTCTGGAGTGAAAACAAGTGCAAATATCCAGATCCTAGTCCTGCAAGACAGTTCTTGAGTATAAATAAATCCATTTGCAGAAAATGAATATTTTAAATATGTGATCACAGTAGCTTTAGAGAAAGAAAGATCGACACTGAGTTTTACAACTGGAATTCAAGTTTGTCTTTTGGGTTTTCTTCTACCAGCTTTGGATCTGATCCTCTGATGGAGTCCAGATGGGAGGAATGTACAGAGCCACACAAATTATAAAATAATAATGAGAGAACAAAGAAATTATAGAGTATCCAGCAGCATACACGTACTGGAGAAAATACATTAGAGAAGATTCTAATAATTGATATTCTCAGGGTTTCAGTGGGGCTTTAAGGTCCTTGCAACTCCCAAGGAAAATCTAAAATATATTAATTTGAACAAAATATGGACAGGATCCATAACGATGGGCTGATTCAGAATATTCTCAAATGCTCGAGGGAAGGTTCAGATGAAGATAATTGCCATCAACACACAATATGGCAAAAGCCAGTGTAAGTAGTGGGATTGTATTCTTCCTTCAATAATAATAAATGTGCCAAAGACGCTATATAATATCTCCAGGGAATTAAAAATCAGGGAAGAGTGTATTTAATATTTTAGTAGGTGTATCATTTATGGAATGCACTTTCTACTTTAAATCATTTTATAGTGTTTATTTTATAAGAGCATTCAGGAGTCCAGATCATATTCTAATAGAAATAATTAATTTTTAAGTAAGTGTATAATGTACTCTCCTTTCCACTACTCCCCCTTCCAAACTGAAGTCATGCTTTTGTAATGTATTTTCTGAGGCATGCTGTTTGGTTCATTTAAAGGAAAAAAATTGGGAAATACCATGTGGATGTATTTACTATGAAAAAAAGACCAGTAATTTGTAAGTCCTTTCCAATCAATGTTTCACGGTAGAAAAAATTTAACATGAAGTTTTTCTCACAAAGCTCTATGACTTTGGTATGTAAAAACAGACCTTCTCTACAAATAGTTCTGATTTCCCAGTGGCACACACAGAAAGCTTGGCTTTACCATAGAAGTCTAGGAATTCAGCAGGTAAAACTCCCTGGAGATGAATCAGGAATGATGTTGGACCTGTTACCTGACATCACAAGTAGGTATTGCACTGAGGTACAGATTATCATGAATGAAAGTTTCAGATAGTTAAGTTTCAATGAGTTAAGGATGTAGATAATTGTAAATGCAAAGTCTTATGCAAGGCAAAACTTGAGTGTACTAGCACAAAGTACCTATCCTATATTCTAGGTGTCCAAATCTAATTATAAATGTTTTCAGCTCAGCTGCCCATCTCCAATCAGGCTCACCTCCACCTAAAGGGTATCACACACTCCCTAGGGGTGATAATTAGCTGAAAACAATTTCAACAAAGTTGCTAATTAACCTTGCAGATAAAAGGCACAGATGGGAGTGGTGGTGGTTTGGGGTTTTTCCTGTCTGTTAGGGGTTTTTTTGTTTATGTTCAATTCTGGCTGCTGACCTGTAGGAGGGTTTTAGCCTCTTCATCAGAGGTGAGTGGTGGCCTCTCTGTGTGGGTCTAATACCTAAATTCTGGGGAGGATGAGGAACTGGGATATGTGTACCCAGTTTTTCATTTTGTAGCTCTGGACTATTTCCCCACTAATGTGAAGTGCCATGACTTACATATCATATGGGGAACTTGGCACCTTATGTTTTTTGGCTGAGGTATCTAAAGACACCAGGCCCTGCAGGAGGTCGCTACAGGCACTTCAGTGTTTTATTGGCTGGTTGTCTCTTGACTGGTACTAAGAGGCATCTCCTGGGATGTGGTACTATGAGAGGGGTCACCTACTCTGATCTGAGAGAAGTGACAATTCTGGTTTTGTTTGTGTCTATAATCTACCACGCTATTTCTCACTATGCTCTTGTACAGTAACTCTGCTGATAATGCATAGAAAGGATGTTCATCCCCTTCTGGGTGGCACAAAGTTATTGTTTCATAACCACCTGCCTCCTTGGTATACAGATATCAGGAAGTGAGTTGAGTTTACTATTTGAGGTCTGTTTATCAAACCAAACTACAATGTGCAGAGAAACTTGCTCTCTGAGATACAGGAAAATAAAGGAATCAATGAATAAGCAGGTAAATCTATATTCTTTATTGTTTGTGAGTGATTTTTCAGTTTGGTCTCAAAACAAACAAAATAGTTTGAGTCTTTAAATACTTTCAAGCTAAATGCCTTGCAATGTATATGTAAAGACACATATGTGCACATAATTTTTCATGAAATAATGTTGAATTCATGCTGAATTATTTCTTGTGAATTAATTCTGGGTTATGTTAGATGCTTTGTTTTTTTCTTTGTAACTGCCGAAAGACTTTGAAATAAAATATAGCTATACTTAGTGTTGAACCATTTCTTTGATAAAAAAGTAGAGCTGAAACACCTCAGTTTTGAAAGTTTCTAAATGGACAGTTTTCCACTATGGGCTTATTTTTTTTTTTAATGAGCCGGAACTATTCAGTCTAAAACTGAATTTTCCTACAAAGCTGATGCAAAAAAGAAAAAAAAAAGCAAAGCCCCCTTTTATTTGTTCTGTACTTTAAATAGAACTTTCTATCAGGCTATGTTCGATTTGTGGTTGTTCAGCACTTTGCAGTAGCTGTAAAACTTCCTGTTTTTGTATTTCTGTGGGTTTTTTTCCCCTGATCTTCCTCACACTTCACTTTCTCTATCTTCTCCACTGCGCACCCCTAATGGCACACTTGATGAGGAATACAGACCCATCTGTCATGCTGTGGGGCACAGTCTGCAGTAAGTGGCCATATGCTTCTGTCACTCAAAGCCAAATTATCAGTTTCTTTTGTTGCTATTTACATATCTAATGAATACCTGAACGGGCAAGAGCAAAGCAAACTGTAGGACTGAGACTTTGAGTTTGTATTGAACAGGTATGAATCAGAATTGTTTGGATAGGGAAGGTAAAAATTATGTGAGGGCAGAATTTGACTCACTGTCAGTGCTTGGTGCCATGAAGATTTACTCCTGAAGCTGTTGCTGTTGATCTGACACCTCTCTCATGACCTCTGAAATTTCAATTTCTTTTCATTATTGCTATTCCACAATGCTAAAGATAACTAAACCCATATCCAAAATTTTGAAGGATAAAAGGGACATCATCAACTTTTTGGATGCTACAAATAAGCTTTTTTCCCCTGTTTGAAGATTGCCATAAATAATGAAAGACTAAACAGGTAGTTTATTTACAATAATGAGGAATGCTTCTTTTGTTCATGACTGTTTTAATAATTCAAAAGCTCTGTCCTGCTGGAGCACTAATCTCTGAACTGATCAAAAGAATGTGAGTGCGTTGTCCTCATGATGTGCAGAGTATGCCCTGGGCAGGCAGCAAAATAGAACCAAAGGACAGATAAAACTCTAATTAAATACTGGTTTGTGTTATGTTGTATTTCCCCATATTTCATTTCTGTTTTGACAGGCTTTTGTCTAAATCTTCAACAAATGTTATCAGCTGTACATGGGAAACAGCCCAATAGTATACTATAGCTACTATAGAAGAGGAACCAATGTATTTAGGAAAACATTGCAATTTACAAGTGGATCATAATGAATATATTGCCCACTGTCTCATGATTTTCCTTTTGAGACATGTTAACAGAAATGCAATAAGCAAATGTATTCTCAGTGTTTTGTAACTTGTACCTCATAAAACTGTTAAACAACAATCCAGGTGATGTCTGACAACAAAAAGTATCCCAAATAAGTGTCATGTGATGTGTATTTCAGTCTCAACTGATTCAGTTGAAGTGTGTTTTCTATGTGTAACAGATTTAAAGATTAGAAAAACAGTATATTATTAAAGAAATATTTTTCCACAACTTAAAAATACAGGCAAGGCAGATGAGAATGAAGAATCCCACAGACTCAAGTAGGGGCTCAGTGACTGGATTAATACAAGAGTTTCTTTTTTACTTGCTTTCCTTTAAAGTATCAAGTTACTTGTGAAGACAGTGAGCCAAGAAGATGAAATAACCTGTGTTCTTGAAAATTCATACAGTTAATGTCTCACACAAAATAGCTTTAAGGGATACAAGGAAGACTGAGCTTCAGCTTCAGTCCTCCTAAGATGCTGAGATCACCTGAAAATGCTTGATATATCAAATGAAACGTTTACCTCAAAATGTAGGGCTCGGTTGCCTTTGCTGTTGCAGGCTTTCAGATGAAACTTTTTGCATGTGGTGTCCCATGATAAACAAATATTCTTCAGAATATGGAATCTTAACAAAATCAGATTTGGATATTACACTGCTAGAGTATATAATGTGCACAGAATGTGCCCGAACAGGCTGGCATATAGATGGGTAATGATCGAGCTCTTGATTTCTATCTTCCATTTTGGCAGCATTACCTACCTATATGTGTTTTATGGTAGAAGAAATGGCAGCCACATCTCTCAGAGTGAAACAACAGTAAGAGAATGACATGAAAAAATCATTATACACATAAGTGTATACCATTAAAACAGTGAGTACTTGGGGACAATGCAGGAAGTTCTACAGGAAAGCGATACATGGCAAAACTTCATGAAAGAAGATTAGAACTAGACAGGCAAACTGAACTTACAGCACAATGACAGCATTCAGAGAAGACTGACAGAAGCATTCGTCATAGTGTGCTTTTCAAAGGCATAGAGCAAAACCAAAAGAAAACTCTAAAGATCACTTAAACTTTATTAGACAACATGTCTGTACCCACAAGGCTCCTTAATCTAATACCTTTGAATGTTATAAAAGCCAAGCAAATTAAGTAATCTCTGTCACTGAGGACATTTCATTCTTTTGTAAACAGCAAACTCCCAACTCCCAAGGTGTCATGCAGTAGCTGTTGGACCACAGAGGAACAGAACATGCACATCCTGAGGATAACCAGCTCATGACAATTGCTCTCTCCTCAAGGCAGCCTCCAGCTACTTCAGGAGAGATGCTGCTACATTATTGTTTTGCCATACAGTTAAGGAGCTGATGACATTTAATTCACACATTTTCTGAGCTTTGTCAGCATTTGATCTCAAGTGCCTGATCAAAAATATGCAACTAGCCCCATGTTATGCTGGCACTTGAATTTTTACTCACCATAAAGCATAGCTCCTCCAGTTTCATGCAGAAAGCGGAATCGATGGTTTTTAAACAACCAAATTGTTAATATTGTAAGAATGAGCAAAAAGTTAAAGACTAGCAGCTCCACAGCTCCCTGATGATAAAACTGATCTTCATCTTTCACTGTTACGTATTTCTTCAACTTCTCCATTTCATTCCCTTTATGGAAAAATATGTGAAAAATAAAAGAAAAAAAATCACAGGAATGAAATTATTATCACCTTTGGTACAAAAAGTCCAGACACTACAGAAATTCACAGCAAGCACATCTGTTCCATTTGCAGCCTCATAGTAAAGTGCCCCAGCTCAGAATTCAGCTGGATTCTAGTTACAGCTTCCTGTTTCTCTCTTAAAGCTGCCCTGTCTCATTTTTAATGTTACAGTTGTGTCACTGGACTGCGCTTGCTCAAGCTGTGGATGCACAAACTGCCTCTGAGGCTCAGACTCTCTTAATTTCTAAAATTCTGTTGTAAAACTCAGTGCGTGTTCATAATGTTTGTCCCTGCAGTTAACAGCACAATCTGAATCCTAAAAATCATATTTTGCCTTGACAGCTCTAGACAGAAAAAATTGTGTTAAAAGAATGACATAGAAACCTTTACTACATTTCAGAAGTTTAAAAATCTTTCCTGTTTCCCAATTGCCCATGTTTAAGTGCAGGTGAGGTAGAATACAGGTGACACTTTACTATGGTGCAAAGACAGGAGAAAAAAACAAATCAATGAATAAGGATTTCAACATTTAGGCATTGCACTCGTATTGAACCTGCCAGAAGACAGAGTGATCTCTGTAAAAGCAAGGGTCTAATTACCTAGAATTAAAAGTAATTAAAAACCTCTATCAAACAGAACAAAATGCAGTGGAATTTACTCCCCATCGTTTCTGCTGTTTGCATGTTTTCATTTACTCAATTAAGCCAGGAAAACAGTAGAAATACTCTAACTATGTACAGCAAATCCTCCCGGAAGCTTTTCTATCTGAGCTCCAGGATGCAATGCATGTCTATATGGAAGAATTCCAAACAAACTCTCATCTTCATCAGAAAAAAACATCAATTCTGCTTCTCATTATAAAAAGACAATCTTCTCATTATTTGATGTCTAAGTCTGTTAAAATTTATTTTTTAAAATATTTTGGGGCAAACTAATCTGGACAGAGTCTATTCCAAGTCAAGTACGTGTCACAGGTGAATAAACCAGAAATACCCAGCTGTCTATACTCTCAGTACTTTCAGGGGTGAGTGTTTTTGGGGAGGCACTGTTGCTTCAATCAATCTATCATGTTTTAAAATAATTTTAGCTTGATAATCAATCAGCTCTATCCTCTGTATAAACTAATTTAATCCCATTTTACAGGTTTTCAGTTTTTTTCTTTCAGCTTGTAAGAAAAGTTGTTTCCTTCTAGTTCTTTTTCAATTAATGCTTTCTCTTTGCTTACTAGATATTTTTTCCATCTCTATCTGAGAGTAGTTTCACTCTGTTCTCTTCATTCTTTCACTATATTCTCTCCTTTGTGTTTCCCTCATTTTCTCTTTCTTTTTGTAATTTTACCTGATAATTTGCAAACACAGTCAGCATTGGTTAAGGCAAAACTGTATTTCTGAAATGATTTTCAAGGGAGTCTCTGTGAGATGAAAAGTTGGCAAAGCCCAGATGACACTTCCCAAACTAATGAACCGGGCAAATCAATTTTAAGGAAGGATAATGGTGGTAACCTGTACTTTTTGAGAAGTATTCTGTCATGGTTTGAGATAGCCCCAAAATCTAATTCCCTAGCTCCATTCCCCCTCCCCCATCTCAACCCAATGTGAGATGGGTTTTTCCAGACAAAACACAACCAGACTCAAAGTGGGGGAAAGGGAATATATTACAATGACTGTACAAATAAATACTATAACATATTATACACACGATCACAACTATCTCTACCATGACATATAGTATTTACAATGGATCAGATCTCTTCTCCCCTCCAAATAAAAGTCCAGGAGGGAAAGAAGGACAGATCCCTTCCAGTCTCTCAGGGCAGCAGCTTCTTCAGAGTAGCAGAAAGCAGTCTATCTCTCTCTCTCATGCATGCAGCTGTTGCTGGATCTCTGCCAGCACTCACGAGGGAGGTATCCAAGCTCCCTCAGCCCCGTCGCCAACCAACCGAGGGGTCTTCCGTGGGCTTCGAACCCCAGACAAGGCCATTCCACCATGTCATATCACGAAGACGCAGGGGGTCTTCGTGACGGTCTGGTATCTCCAGGAGATTCAAGCTCCTTGCAGGGCCTCTGTGCCCTGCCTCAGGCTGCCACCTTGGCAGCAGTGCGAGGGGGGAGCCAAGGTCACCCCCTCTGCATTCCTCTCCATCCCGGTCCAGCTTCCCAGGATGCTCTGAGCTTCTCAGCTCTTCTCTGCAGTGCATGTTGCACTTCAAGGCTCTTTCAAGTAAGAGTCCATCATCTTCCTCCTTTCCAGGAGGTCTCAAAGGAGTTTGGGGGGTCTGGTATCAGCTCTTACCCCCAGAACTCCGTAGCTCTGCTGCTAGCTTCTGCTGCTTCTCTGGTTTAGTTCTTATCAGTTGGCTTTTAGCCATAACCTCTCGGCTGCCGCCACTTCTGCTCTGTCTCTGCTCACTCACGATGGAAAACATCTCCCTGCTCACAGCTACAGACACATAGTCCAGCTTAACACTGTTCCAAGTCTCTGTAGCCCCCAACTGGGGCTGGGGGGCCCCAGAGGCCCCGAGGGGCTCCGGGCCCCTTTCCTCGTGGCTCTACAACATGGCCACCCTTCTAACAACCCAAACTACCACTCATCTCTTCCGGTCTGGTTGTGGTATGTTTACATTTCTGCAGGAGCGCCCATTGGACAGAACTTCAAAACTTCCAGGGGTTTCCACCCCTTGGGGGTTACCACTTTTCTTAGCCTCTGGGGGAAACAAGGTTCAAACCACTACATATTCAAAACTGTATTTTGAATTAAAAAATAATGTGTAAGGGAATTAGGTGTAGCAATTTCATTATACAACAGATGCAACTGTCTAAAAAGTGTTAGTCAAATAGCTAAGGCTTCTACCCTTTATAAAGGAGAAAAAATAAAAATGAAGACTTGATGTGGATGTCATATTCACAGTTTAGAATGATAATGACCTCAATTCTGTGAGTCTGATCATCCATCTCCAATGTGGAGGTATCAAAAGCAAGCAAAAAAATCAATTGAAAATTATCACATTCAGTATCTTTTGCAATGAAAACCGAAGGTTTGTTTACTATGAAAGCCAAAGTTCTTTTCTACCCTGTCAAATAGGTAATTTGCAAGCACTTATAATAAAATCAATGGAGAAGAAGCATGAAACAGTGAAAGGACGTCACTTATACAAAGAATCTCAGTGATTAGATTGTTTACCTCAGATTTAGGAGACCAGGTTCAGTTTTTTATTTGAATTTACCCAAACCCATATTTTTCATCAAATAAAAAGTGGTTCCTTAATCTTACTGCTCAAGTAGGTGCAGTATGAAATATTTGAAACACATAAGTGTTAATTTCCCAAAGCAAAATTGAGTTATGACTCTGCCCTATGTCACAAGATAATCTGATGCATGTTCATGAAACAATTACACATTACAGTGATTTGCACCATGCCAGAGTTTAAATGAAAACAGAATGTCAGATTTAGTTACCAGGCTTGCAGGTGCTGGACTTGGGGCTTAAATGCTGACAAAGCTCCTTATATAACTCCAGGGAGGTCTGGTTCTAGATAGCGCTCATCAAGTTACAGGACTGGGGTTTCAGGTGTTGCTCTGCTCTCAGAGATGTCAGGCGACTTCAAACCAGCTTTCCAGCCACAGCCACCCATCACAGCTGCCACTTATGAGCAATCCAGGAAGGACACACAAAACTGTTGTTTTTCTTTGCATCCTCAAACATTGTATTAATTAATTATTACAGTACACCCTCTGTAATATGCAAAAGATATGATGATTAAGGCAAGCTAACTATCTGTTGCAGCATGTTTGCAAGTGAGAATTATATACATGTGTTATTGGGGAAATATATTGGAACTAAATGTGCAGGACCTTAAGAATGCTTTTTGCTTTTAATAATCTGAGGACATTTTGGCACTTATAGGCCAGAGGGATGCCCCAAACGTTCAGGCTCATACATGGAGAAGAGCTAATGTGAAACTTGTAAGTAATAGAAGAGGCTATAATATAAGTTTCAATCCAGTTAGTTTTTTTACACTTTGTGCTGAATGGTATGGCTGTATTATTGTTCTCTGTATGCCATATTATTTTATTAGAAATATAGATACACGGAGCCAGATACCTCTTGAGCTAAATTAAACCAAGTCACCTCTCCAGGAAAGTTTTGCTACATACAGTTCTGTAAAGAAGAATGGGTTTAGGTAGATGAAAAGCAGCTCTACTGAGAAAGTAGAGCTACCCATGAAGAATACACAGGAAAACCGTATAGCTTCAGAAAACCTAACTAGGTTTTGCAATAGGATCTCACCTGAAAAAGCGTTGGCAATATTACCAGGTAATCTGTTTGATTCTTTCTATGCTCAGGTCTTTCCACATTCTGACGTAACCAGATTTTCAGTGGTATCCAAACCCCTCATCACTTTTGCCTCCTAACTGGAATAACTTCTCTCCAAGTTTTGGTTGGTTTGCATGTCAGATAGGACAACAGCATATTGCAGCAATTGCATCATATTTCAATATTAATAGCAGATGGTAATTCAAGAAGGAAGGAACTCAATAAAATAGAAAGTTACACTTTGACTTTCAGAATAGGCTACCAGGTAAATGAAGAAAGTTTTCACAGGGAGGGTATTTTGAATATTATTTAACAGGCCAAATACAAAGCCAAACAAATTAAAGTTTCTGGAAGGCAGTGCATCAAGTAATTCTCATAATACCACGCTTTATCTCCCTTGGCATGTAATTTTGGTGAACAAGAGGTAGTTCTTACTAATTTTCTATGTTCACCTTATCAACTCTATGCATTTCACAGAAAAATAATCCTTTCCTCCCTTAGCTTGGCAGATGTAGAAGTCTGCTCTTATAGAAACTATCAAGATGGAACAGAAAGCAAGAAGAATCTTATAAATCAGTAGAGGGATTCTCACTTTGGAAAATATAAAGTCAGAAAAGGAGCACAATGTAAAAATTGTAATTAATTATAGTTAGTGAGGATTCCAAGCAAAGATGCAAAGCTTTAGCAGCACCGGCAATTCTGCAAGCACAGGAAAAGTAGAGCCAAAAGTAAAAGCAAACACTGAAAACAAGTGTATCTATATATGTAATTAAAAAACCAAGC